GGCCCAGAAGACATCCACTGGCGGCGCACACGAGGGGGCTCGGGGCGATGGGGGGGCGGCCTTTCGAGAAAGCGGGGGGCTGCTCCGCTTCGAAGCATCCGAGCTCTTCCTGAGTATTTTCTTAGGGTGGAGGGCTCAGAGAAAATCCATATGGGCTTTTGCACCTCGAAAATCAATCCGTCTTTTGTGATTCACCTTTTGCAGATCAAGCCTCGAAGACCAATCGAAAAAGCACTTCAGATTTCACCGTTTGCCCTCCACCCAAAGAAAATGCTAGGTCTTCTGAGAAGACCCCGTATATTATTCGAATGCTGCCCGCGTGGGGCATCTCAGAAGCCAGAGTTGCGAGGATGGTCTGGGCGAAACGGGCCTCGCACCGGGGCATCTCGTCTCGGGGCTCAGAGTTGCGAGCATGCCTCGGGCGAAACAGGCCCGACCACCTCGAGTGCGGTGTCTCAGAAACCAGACGTACGAGGATGTCTCGGGCAAAACGCGCTCGCAGCTCAGAGTTGCGAAGATGTCTGAGGCGAAACGCACCGGACCACCTCGCGCGGCATCTCTGAGCCCAAAGCTGGGAGGATGCCGCAGGCGGAACGGGCTTGACCACCGCGCGAGTGGTAGATCGGAAGCCCGAGTTGCGAGGATGTCTCAAGCGACACGCGCTGGACCACCTCTCGCGCAGGATCTCGGAGCCCAGGGTTGCGAGAATGTCTCGGGCGAAACGGGTCCGACCACCTCGCGCGCGGCATCTTAGAGCCCAGAGTTGCGAGGACGTCTCAGGCTGAAACGCGCAGAACCACCTCGCGCGCGTCATCTCGGAGCTCAGAGTTTCGAGGATGTCTCAGGCGAAACACCCAATCCCAGCCGACTCGGAGACGAGGGTTCTGAGAATGTCTCAGGCGAAACGGCCAAGACCATTTCGATCTCGTTAAGGATGTCTCATGACGCGGGTCCCTCGGCCAGAACCAGCTTCTACCACAACAGTACCCCGTTCAGCAAGCTGTTTGGGGAAAAAGCATGACTGCCCATGTTGAACATAAGTTGACAACTCTCTGTCGCTATACTGTTACTTACGAGCCACGTCTAGATCGCAAAGCGGGGGGAGGCTGGAAAGGGGCATGCCACTACTTGGCGAAAACCTTGCCCAGATTTGTGGTCGCCGCGATCGCCGCGGCGCCATCCAAAACCGACCCAGAAGTTGGTTTCGGGGTCGGAAACTACGCAACGATATACCCTCATGGCAGGCCTGAGCTAGCTCGACTCGCGAAGCTGGGTCGGATCGAAAATGGATCGGGAACGGATCGGGCCGCCAGTGCATCGTCCCGAAGCGAAGAAAAACCAGACCGCCGCGCCCGACTCTGGCCGACCTCGGCCGATGCCGGTGAATCGAACCCAATCGAATCGAATCCGACTGGCGGCCCAGGCTTGCGAATCGAATGGATCGTAGGTGGCCCTACCTAGCCTCGACCATGAGATGTATACAGCATCCTGGGGCCCTTCGATTACCTGGCCAGGGATGGCGGCGATGTACGGGCCACCGTCTGCGGACGGGTTGCACGCTTTCAGGCGCCCCCAGCCGCCCGCATGCGCGGTGGTGAAACTGTCCAGCTCTCTGTACTGGCTGGGGTCGCACACAAAAGTCACGGAGGTGGTGGCCGCGCTGCTGCCCTCGCCGCTGCGGGTCTCCTCCTCGATGGTGGCGTTGGACACTTCTGTCAGGTGCCTACGGAATTCATCGAGGAGCCTGTCGGGACATGTTATTCTCAAGCGCATCTTGGCACGCGCGAAACTGTCCGGCATTTCTTTGCAGAGTGCCTCAATGGCCTTTAGGGCCTGCCTCTTGGCAGGCTGGTCCACGACGCTGAAGCCTATTCTCTTCAGGGCGTTCTCGACTGTGAGTGCGGTGAGCTGCCTGCCAGTCTGCGGGTGAACGCACCTTTCAACAACGTTCTGCACGATGTCCCGGAGGAGCGCCTCCTCGTAGGAACCAACAAAAACATCCTCCTGCTCGAGGCTCGCTGCTACGTTTGCAATGAGCGCTTGCCCCCCCATCCGTAGGTCTCCGCCAACGTGCCCCGATGCACAGAGTGGAGTGTCGATGCATGAAGAGGTAGGCGTCCGGGCGGCCTCTCCCCTTGAAGTGAAACAAATGGACAGATAAGTCACAGACTCACAGACTCACCCAAAGCCCAGAGTTCCAGGCGCTCCGCTCTTAGGCGATCTTGGGCGCTCTTGGGCGCTCCTGGGGTTTGGTGCGCGTCCCCGCGACACGAGTCCAGAAGCAAGAGGGCCCCGCACCGGCCAAGAGGGACTGCCCAAGAATGGCCCGAGTCGCCCAGAGATCGCTCAAAGACGCGCAGGCCTCCAGACAGTCCAAGAAGCCCCCAAGACGCCCCAAGAGGGCTTCAAGAGGCCCCCCAAGAGGCCACTGGAGGGGGGGGGAGGAGAAGGAGGAGGAGTGAGAGGACAAGCCAAGAGGTCCCTGGAGGGGAAGAGGAGGATGAGGAGGAGGAGGAGGAGGAGCAGGAGCAGGAGCAGGAGGAGAAGGACGAGGAGGAGGAGGAGAAAGAAGAGGAGGAGCAGGAAGAGGGAGGGATGAGGAGGAGGAGGAGGAGAAGTGGGGAGAAGGGAGGCGGAGAGGAAGAGTGAGCCAGGCGGAAGCGGAAAAGGCCAGAGGGAGCCACGCGGAGGAGAGGAGGTGGGGAGCCGGGAAGTGAGAAGGGAGTGAAGGGGAGGGGAGGGGAGAACAACATCAAAAAAGGAGGGGGAGAGGAGTAAAGGGGGGAGGAGAGGAGGAGGATGAGGAGGAGGAGGAGGAGGGAGGAGGGAGGAGGAGGGGGAGGAGGAGGGGGAGGAAGGGGGAGGAGGGGGAGGAGGAGAGGAGAGGAGGAGGAGGAGGAGGAGGAGGAGGGGAGGAGGAGGAGGAGGAGGAGGAGAGAGAGGAGGAGGAGGAGGAGGAGGAGGATGAGGAGGAGAGAGAGGGAGGGAGAGGAGAGGAGAGAGAGAGAGGAGGAGAGGAGAGGAGAGAGAGGAGAGGAGAGGAGGAGAGAGAGGAGAGAGAGGAGAGGAGAGGAGAGAGGAGAGGAGAGGGAGGAGAGGAGAGGAGAGAGAGGAGAGGAGAGAGGAGGGAGAGGAGAGGAGGGGAGAGGAGGAGAGGGAGGAGAGGAGAGGACGGAGAGGAGGGAGGGAGGAGAGGAGCGGACAGGAGAGGAGGAGGGAGAGGAGGGAGAGAGGAGAGAGGAGAGGAGAGGATAGGGAGGAGGAGGAGGAGAAGGAGGAGGAGGAGAGGAGGAAAGGAGAGGAGGAGGAGAGGAGAGGAGAGGAGAGGAGAGGAGAGGAGAGGAGAGGAGAGGAGAGGAGAGGAGAGGAGACGCGGGGCTCTGTCTCTTCCAAACGAGGACCCAACACCACAGGAGGGTTCGGAAAAAGGAGGAGGGGGGAGAGGAGGCCTGGCGCTTACGCCCGGACTTCGAGTAACTCGGCCTTGGGCCATGGGCTGGGGAGGAATCAAAGGTTCGCGCGCCATCCCCAGCTCCTGATGGACCTCGCGCTCCTTGTCAGAGACCTGCAATTCCCCGCTCTTGAGTATCTTCTTGCAAATATCCTCTGGATCCGTGGTGTTGAAGGCCTTCTGCAGGTCCTTGGCGTTCGCCACTTCGCCCTTGGAGACGTTCGTGAAGATGGTGTCTATCTGGAGAACCTCGCTCAGGTCCTTCTCGACACCAGAGCGCCAATTCAGAACTTTATTCTTGTAGCAAGCAATCTCAAATCTTTTACCGGCAGCCTTGTAGCGCACTATGGCAACATTAGTCAACTTCTTGATTCCAAGCGGCTGCTTGATTGACATAGACCGCACAACACCTCTCTCGCCCTCTGGTCTCACGCCAAAGGCAAGAGATGCTGGTGGTCGCACCACCCTCGTAAAACTGAGCCGCAGTGGCTACGAACGGGAAAACCGACCGCCCAGGCACATCGACACGATCACCAGCGACGCCACTGCGGCAAAAAGACCCTTGGACCAGTGTGTCGCGGCGGTGGCCCTGACTGCGAGCTGACAGCGCGGCGCTGCTTCGCGGGAGACGGACGGCTGGGAGAAGCTCGGAACGCTGACGCTTGGCACCGGGACGTGCCCGGCGTGTCGCGCCGAGGCACCGATGGGCCAGAGCCGGCCGCGCGACGCGCCCCAGCAGGACGCTCCTGGGCCGCACTCTGCACCGGCAGCTTCGCGCCGGGGCGCCGCCGGCGTTGGCTTCTGACGCCGCGTGGATCTTTCGGCCTCGAAGTCCGTCGGCGTTCCGATCGCCACGTCGTTCCACGCGGGCCTCTTCTGGGCCACCGGCGGCGCTCTCAACCCTCACCGCACGCGCTGTGGGGTCGCAGCCGTGCCGGCACGGCACGACGCGGCCGCACACATAGTGAGAAAAAACAGCACAACACACACACACACACACACACACACTTTCGGAAGACCAGGCTGACTTCTGGGATCGGCGCTGGAACCCCCGCCCTGGCGCGCGGAGTACGCCAGGGGCGGCGCCAGAAACGCCGCTGGGGAACGCGCTAACATGGATCGGATATCCATGGGTCTGGCGCGTTCTGGCCAGATCCACGGATCGGGGAAAGCACCCCACGAAACATGAGGACAGTATCGCCCGATCTGGCAAAGGAGCGCGCCGATTATGCACGGAAACTGGACCCGTCGCGAATCCACGCGCCCTAATCCATGTTTACGCTTCCGTGGTGCAGGTCCTCCTCTTCAACTTCTTCCTCGTCCTGCTCCCCCTGCCAAGGGTTGCTCGCTCGTCAAAGAGAGAAACCAGAGGGATGCCAGACGCTCCTGGGCGCGGATCTCCTTCGCCTTGGTGACGTTAGCATGGGCCGCCTCGATGGTATCCACCAACTCCTCGCCCCCAACGGAATTGAAGAGGCTTCGGAACAAGAGGTCACCCTTCCGTTTCCCACTCAATCCTCCCGCATCAACCCAAATCCCCCCTCCTCATCCTCCCTCCACTTCCTCATCCCTCGACAAATACGCAAATATCCACCTCCGCCTCCGCCTCCGCCTCCTCGTCCTCCTCCTCCTCCTCCTCCTCCTCCTCCTCCTCCTCCTCATCATCATCATCATCATCATCATCATCATCATCATCATCATCATCATCATCATCATCATCATCATCATCATCATCATCATCATCATCATCATCATCATCATCATCATCATCATCATCATCATCATCATCATCCTAATCATCATCATCATAATCATCATCATCATCCATCATATCATCATCATATCATCTTCATCATCATATCATCATGTCATCATCATCATCATCATCACATCATCATCATCATCTCATCTCATCATATCACATCATCATCATCATATCATCATCATCATCATCCTCATCATCATCATCATCATCATCATCATCATCTCATCATCATCATGATCAGCATCATCAGCATCATCTCATCATCATCCATCATCATCTCATCACATCATCATCATCATCATCATCATCATCACATCATCATCATCATCATCGTCATCATCCATCACATCATCATCCATCATCACATCTTCATTCATCATCATCATCATCAGCAGCATCATCATCATCATCATCATCATCATCATCATCATCATCATCATCATCATCATCATCGTCATCATCATCATCATCATCATCATCACCACCACCATCATCATCATCATCATCATCATCATCATCATCATCATCATAATCATCATATTCATCATCATCATCATCATCATCATCATCTTCATCCTCCTCCTCATCCTCATCATCATCAGCCTCATCAGCAGAAGCATCATCATCAGCATAATAATCATCATCAGCAGCATCATCATCGTCATCATCATCAGCATCATCATCGTAATCGTCATCGTCATCATCAGCATCATAATCAGCATCATCAATATCCTCATCAGCATCAGCATCAGCATCAGCATCATCCACATCATCATCCGCATCCTCATCCTGACCATCCTCAACACGTATCCTGAGGATCCTCGTCTTATTCGGTATCACTCTCATCTCGCGTCCCCTCGCTTTCCTCATTCCTCCACCACCCCTCCCCTCCCCCTCTTCACCCTTACACGATATGAATATGACTCCCCTCTCTCCAACGAAAATGTGCTGAGACTGGTGCGCCCTCCTCCGCGGACGTACTGTTTTCTTACCCACATGACTTCAGTATGTGGTATTCCTGTGGACTTGTTTCATATGGTCCTATTCGGTCCTTCCACAATGGATTACCCGCTGCAGCGTGGGCGTCAGTTAAGGATCGGCGCTTTGCTCCCGTCGTTCAGAGTGGGCTGGGCCACTTTGCTGAATCCGAATCCTGCCTCATCGTTGTCGCCCCCCGCCTTTCCCCTCCTCCGCCTTCCCCTGGCCCCACGTGCTCCTCCCGCTCCTTCTACTGCAGTTTCTGCTGCTGCTGATCGGTCATCCAACTTCCTCATCCTCCTCATTTTCCTCCTGACCATCATCGTGTGAATCCGCCACCTCCTCCTTCAATGTACGCCACTCCCATTTTTCCGATTGCGCATAACACGATGGGATCCCTTTTTGGAGGTTCAGGTCCGATATGACGCGCGCCGGCGGAAACCATACAAAATCAGCGCAATTGTAAGGGATGGGAAGGAGGGGTGGGATGTCAGATATGGAGCGATCGCATCTAAGTTATCAATATCCTCTCTCCTCGTACATCTCTCTCATCTCCGAGTTCCTAAATCAAATTCCGCCAGCCCTTTGGGCTAAGGTGGTCTGACGAATTCCTTATTTTCTCTTCCAGAAACCTCGTCCGTCCGGGAAGTTGACCTGCCCCCCCCTCCCTGAGATTTGAGTTTGGGGGGGGAGCGATCGGTCAGGGCGCCCAAGATGGCCCAAGATGGCTCCAAGTGGCCTTAAGATAGTCGATGATGGTTAAAGATAGCTTCCGACATGCATCCAAGAGGCCCGACGAGGGCCACAAGACAGTTCTAAGTGCTCTCAGAGCACCCCCGGGACCCCCAAGAGGCCAAACTCCTTCAAAGGCCTAAAGAAAATAAATGAATGTTCAATTCTCGCCCTTTCGCTTCCGATGCGCTTTTGTCCTCGGCCTCGTTTTCGTCCTCCTCCTCCTCCTCCTCCTCCTCCTCCTCATCCTCGTCCTCGCCCTCGTCTTTGCCCTCATCGTCTTCCATTATCCTGTTATTCCTCTTCCTCGTCGTCGTTGCTGTCGTCGTCTTCCTCATCAGAAGGGAGGAGGGGGAGGAGGACCAGGAGGAAGGGAACAATCGTGACCCTAACATGCATCAACGGCGCTGCATTCCGTCACAAGTGCACTCCTCATGAGTCCCTACAAGCTTCCCTCTCCTACTTTAAGAAGCGCCTCCTTGACAGACCAGCACCGCATGGTGTCTGCCAATCAGGCGAGAGCGCCGTTTGAACAGGAACGCGCATATCATCCTTGAAACTGCTGCAAGCTTTTGCACCCCCCCCAAAAAAACAAAAAAACAAAAAAACGGATGCGCGCTGCGCTACAGCGAGAGCAACACTTTGAAAGTGGCCCGCCATCCATCCTTGAAACCGCTGCAAACTCCAAAAACGAGTATGCGCGGCGCTGCGGCGAGAGCCACATGCTGAAAACGGACCGCCCTCCATGTTTGAAGCTGCTGCAAAAGACTAAAGATAATATGCGCGGCGACGCGAAGGTGAGAGACACACTTTGAAGACGGCCAACCCTCCATCCTTGAAAATGCCGCAAATGTGAAAAACGAATGCGCGCAGAACTAAGGCAAGAGCTCCATTTTGAAAACGGCCCCGCCTTCTATCCCTGAAACGGTTGCATATTCAAGCCCCCAGATCATCAACGGTGAGGATTTCTCAAGCGATACGCCCAGCCCGCCTTGACCACACGTCTGGGGGTGCGACAGAGATCAGTTGTTCCCCAAACACTGCTTGTACTTAGGAGTTCATACTTCTGTTATAAAAAGGAACTGGACCGTGTCTTCGGTCTGCTGGCTGTGGCCGCCGTCGACGCTCCGTCGCCGCCTCGTCGCCGCCCGTCCTCTGGGCCTGGATGTCGGTCTGCCGGCTATGTAGCGACGGCGGCCGCCGCCTCGTCGCCGCCCTAGATCCTCCTTTTTCAGAAAACAGAATAGACTCTACCCCCCCCCCTGGCGTTATCACTCCCCCTTTCGGGTATGTAAATCATACATGATTCTGACCACATGTCCATCCTAAATATGAATTTACACTATCCCAGGCCAGCCGGGTTCCCCCCCTGAGGTTCCCTTGTGAGGAAAGAAGAAAAAAAAAAAAAAAAAAAAAAAAAAAAAAAAAAAAAAAAAAAAAAAAAAAAAAAAAAAAAACTATGCGGTGACATTTTTGTTCTAACATAACACTTTGTCGCGCATCCCTTGCCCCCCCCCCCCCAAAAAAAAAGCACACGCGCGCGTCGTCGCGCGCGCATGCCGAAATCCTTCAAAAACCTTCGGTGCCGGAAGGATTTCGCAATCGAGTTCCCAAAAAACATACAAAAACACAGGGTTTCGCAACACCGAGTTGCTAAAAAACCTTCTGCGCGAGCTCTTGCGAAATCTTAAGAAAACCATAGGTGTTTCAAGAATTTCACAACATGCTACCAAACGGGCTTCGCGCGCGCGCATGTCGAAATCTGTCGAACGCCCTTGCGCGCGTGCCGTCTCGAGAATCCTCTGCAAAAAAAGAAGGCGAAGTGCACGCACGCGCGTCGTCGCGCGCGTATGCCGAAATCCTTCAAAAACCTTCGGTTCCGGAAGGATTTCAAAATCGTGCGTCCAAAAAACCTACAAAAACCAAAGGTTTCGCAACACGGATTTTCAACAAAAGCGTGCGCGCGCGCTCTTGCGGCGTCGTCGTCGTCGTCGTCGTCGTCGTCGTCGCCGTCCTCCCTCCTCCCGCATCGTCGTCGTCGTCGCCTACGTCGTCTTGTGTCTTTCCTCGTGTTCGTCGTCGTCGTCCTCTTTGGCGTCGTGGTCGTTTCCGTCGTCGTTGTCGCCGTGGTTGTCCTTCCTCCTCCTCCCTCGTCGTCGTCGTCGTCGTCCGTCGTCGGCGTCTCGTCGTCGTCCCTCCAATTTCGTCGCCGTCGTCGTCTTTTTCGTTTCGTCGTGGCCTTCCCTCCTCCCTCGTCGTTGTCGTCGTCGGCGTCGCCGTCCTTCCTCTTTTTTCGTCGTTCGCGTCGTCGCCGTCCTCCCTCGTCCCTCGTTGTCGTCGTTGTCGTCGTTGTCGTCGTTGTCGCCGTCGTCGTCCCGTCGTCGTCGTCGGCGTCGGCGTCGTCGTCGTCGGCGTCGTCGCTGCCAAATGCTATTTGGCACCCACCGTCACGGTCTTAAGAGGTCTTCTTGCGACCAAGTTGCGGGTGGGAGGGTGGGATGTTTGCACGAGCAATGGAGAGGACAGCTTCAAGTTGAGCACGTGATTAATTCTCCTTTCTAAAAATACAATCGACTCTACCCCCCCCCCCGGACTTCTCGCTTCACCCTGGGATAGTATAATTTCATATCTATTCTGCACACTCGTCCATCCGAAATATGAAATCATATCCCAGCCAAACCGGGTTCCCCCCTGAGGTTCCCTTGTGAAAAACACTATGTGGTGACATTTGTTGCTCTAACATAACACTTGTTCACGAATCCCTTGAAAAAAAAAAAAAAAAAAAAAAAAAAAAAAAAAAAAAAAAAAAAAAAAAAAAAAAAAAAAAAAAAAAAAAAAAAAAAAAAAAAAAAAAAAAAAAAAAAAAATGGGCATGCGCGCGTCGTCGCGCGCGCATGCCGAAATCCTTCAAAAACCTTCGGTGTCGACCGGATTTCGCAATCGAGCTTTAAAAAAAGCATGCAAAAACACATGTTTC